CAGCTGCTTCCTGTAATGCAGGACACCCAGGAGCACCCAGGCTTGGCCAGCAAACCCTGCGTCCCATTCTTTTACCGGGCAGCGGAGAACAGGGAGATAAACATCATCATCATCTGAGAGCTGGTCAAGAAATTTAAAATCAACAACAACGAAATGTGGTTAATCTCCTACACAATTCGTTTACTTCATTTGAATGTTAGAGCCCCTCATGTTTATTTGTGTTTCTAATTTACAGTTTAAATTTATTTATAAAAAGTTAAGGGAGAGGGCTCTTTCCCTGATGTTCACTCTGGCATCCTTTAGCATTTTTGTTTTTTAATCTGATAATTGTAGGTTATTAGCATGCGTATCGAGTTTGCCCTTACGTGGTGGGAGTTCAAACACACAAAGACCCACTATTTGCACAAAACTATTCTTGCTGGTTTGGAATAGGCTGCCATGCTTTTTAAATGTTATTGCAGCATGTATATTCTTTACAGAATTCAGATAAAATCTGCTTATGTTCTGCTATTATGTTTGATCGAATCCTAATCACAGTGAGCTCTTCATTAGCTCAATATGTGGTTTGCCCTCAAGTGCAGACTGTTTCTTACTTTGTAATATGCCCCTGTGAGTACTGACATTTAGAGTTGTTTAAAGGCCGAGAACTGGAAACAGCTTTTCCCCTATTTTCTGTGTATTGGGGATGGGAGTGATAACATTTTGGGGAGCTTTTTAAATCTCACAGAAGAGGAAAGTGGCCTGCTCTGGCAGGTGCCTGTGCAGGATAGAGTGTGTTTCATTTGTTCTGGTGCCAGGAATGAGCGCGGTACTATGGTAGTTCCCTTTTCTATGTGCTCTGGGCTCATGAAGATATTGCATCATAAGCTGCAGCAGTTGGACTCTTTCTCAATGACCTAAAAGGGATTATTTCTGAAGAATGAAAGGCTCCCATCATTGACTGTGGATGTGGAAAATCTTTTCTAGCTTAGAGCTTTCATATCCACAATACATTTTAACGTCAGAGTTCATGTTACCTGTTTTAATCACATGACGACGTGTCCCAGTACACAAAAGGGCACTGGTTGATATTCTTCTTAATGTATTTAGTGAAGATCATAAGAAATCCTTTCAGAGTTTAAATGTCCCTGGAACAGGCATACAGGCTCTAGTCAAGAATGAATTTGAGTGAAGGAAAGCTGTGTGACACCTGGCATTCCTCTATGTTCATGGAGCTTCTTTGAGGCTAGAAGACTGATTTTACCATCTAGACCTCTCTGCCTAATACCTGTTCTTCAACCACATTGGTTAATCTGACACAGGAATTTGCTTCTTTTCTTTGAATGAAAAACACTTTAAAAATAATAACGACCATTATTATAAACCAATATATGTGAGAGTATTTGTTGAAACAAAAAGGAGTTTTAGTAGACAGTATTATACTACATTTGAAAATCAAGGGGAAGTTTATGCAACTTAAAATGTTTACAAACTGCAGTGCAATCTACTGTTTGTGAAGCTCAAAGTGTTATGAGGAAAAGTGTCTATACCATCACAGAGTTATGTTTCCTCACAAAGTTCTTTACAAAGAGTGAACTATGTTTTTGTACCTCTCAGTTTCAGTTAGAGGCATATTTTGTGCCATATTTATGTTAATGTGTCTGTACATGATGAATGAATTATTTCAGTCATACGTTGCCTAAATCATAACTTTATGATGCTTGGGAAAGAATCAACAGCTACAACTTCATGAAGTTCTAATGTCTGTGTTCCAAAATACGTCACTTTATTAGGATGTAGGGAGAGGTGTATGTGCGTTCCCTGGGGTGGGCATTTCTAGTTACTAGATCATCTCCATTTTTAGCATTTGGCTTCCTCATGATACTTTTATACATATGACATTAACAGAAGAGCAATAATATGATTTTACAGATGGAATAATAGATTTGCCTGCATTCACTGAAAGGGTGCAAATATTTAGTCCTTGTGACTTCAACTGACTCTTCCAAATTGTCTATTTTAGAGCCTTGAGCTAGAAATCATACCACTGTTAATTAGCCCCCTTGTTTGGTCTAACAGTTTTTCTTTATAATGCTGAAACTGGGTTTACCTGATAAACTGATAAATTATTTCAAAAGTATTTTTATAGTTCAAGTCATTTCACTTTTACCCTGATAAATATAAATGACTAGGAATGACCTTCAGATAGTGTTTAGCATCTGTAACCAATCTGACAATAATGTGTTCATCAGGTACCTATGGGTGAAATCACACACTGGCATGTTTAAGCTGAATGTCAGTCTGGAAAAGAAATGTACTGTATTAACTGAAATACCACTCTTTGTGTAGGTATTTTGTAATTTATTTTTTAAAAAAGCTAAAAAGAATAGAAATTGTATGATAATAACTTAAGTTTTTCTTCAAAGTGCACGCAGTCTTTTGCAATACCTCATTCAGCCAAGTATTTGTTCTCTTCCTCATTCAGTATAAGGCAGCTTTCAATTTGCTGAGAAGGCAACATTAGAAGGTTAGAGTTTATCAGAAACATAGAACTTTAAAGTGTGAGTTCAACTGAATAAATATGAATTTCTGTACGAAGTAAATAATTAAAATACCTATTTAAAGATTGCAATATATAACCATTTTTAAAGTATTTGATTAAACCTGATAGGTTTCCCAGAAATGAAAAAAAACAACAATCAATTCCACAACCAAAGCTGATATCTAATTTAGAAAATGTGAAAATGTAAATCAGCCCTATCCACAATATAGTTTCTGTAAAACTTTGGCTTAAAGAATCATTTTAAAAGAATATAACTATGCAAAAATGTAACTGCTATCTTAATGTTTTGAAATAAGTTAAAGCATATTAAAATATGAGTACTGTAGTTTAAAAGAGTGAAACTGGGGGAAGGAAAAGTAGAGAAAGAAATGCCAATTCCAATGCCAAGCTTTATTTGCTGAGTTTTCTTAGAATGACTTTTACCAATTTATGAATTCCTGTCAACAGAATGTATAATGGAAATGCTGAAAGACTGTTGCCTAAAGTGCCATTATTGACTGCTACTGTGATGCTACTGCAATGCAATAAGTTAGGAAATTGTTGCAAGGGGCTGTTTTTGCCTTAAAATTTTGTGTGTCTTGAAAGCTATGGCGTTAAAGGTATGAGACTGTGCAAATGCTGGGCATGCTTGGCATGAGATCATTGGTTTTTATTTTTACAAAATTATAACTATGCAAGTGTGTTTATTGAAAGAACACAAACTAAAGTTATGGGATAAAAAAGTTGTGGATGAAAAAGTTATGGGATAAAAAATGTGGAAAAGTTGTGAAAAAAAGTAGAATAATGTTTCATGAAAAGTTTTAAAAAATTATTATGAACAAGAAGTTATAGGATTAAAAAAATAAGTCATGGGATAAAAACAAAAACAAATAAAAGCAGGCCCCTGTCAGCATAAGCCTGGAGAAGTGGGGCTGGAGTCTCCCCCCCCATCATATTCCTATCACCCCTTCCCAGTCACCCCTTTACCATTAGGGTAGCAAGACAAGACCCCTGTCTAATGGGGGTGGGGGTGAAAAACAGACCCTTTGCCACCTTGACCAGGGCCGAGTCCTTAAATTTCTGGATGGTGATGTTTGCTATTGAAGAGCCAGAGGCTGGTGGAGCTGGTTTGTTTGGAGGAGGCCTGATGGCCTCCCTACTCTCACCAAAGCAACTTTTCCCTCAGGGGAGCTCCCGTCTTCTTATTCAGAGAGGCAGCTGAGGCAGGACAATGGGGCTAAGTGTAGAGCAGGCGAGGGCACGGGCTGCTGGGGTGGCCTCCCTTCCCCAGTGTACATATAGTATCTGTGTAATATTTTGTATATTCCAGGAGTAGGGCTGCCCCCTGTATTGTACCTAGCGGAGGTTGGAACTGGCATATGCGGAGGAGGTTCTAATCATTATTTGCATCTGGGAGACTTATTTATTGATAGCATAGGACAGAGGAAGGAGGTGGGGATGAGGTTGTGGCTCCCTGGTAATGCGACTCCCATTTATTTTGCTTTTGATTCTGGAATAAATGGATTTAGCCATACTGCTCAGCCTGGTGGGTTCCCGTTTCCCTCACTGGGTCCTGGAGTTTGTGCCACTGAACGAGGAGCCCAGAGTGTCTGAGCATGTCCAGCTGGGCTGTTGGGGACCTTCCAGGCCTGTTACCTGTATGCTGCCTGGTGACATCTGGTGGATTTCACGGGGACTGCCATGGCACCTATGGGGCACAGTCCAGCCCTGACAGCCAACAGGCTCAGAAGCCTGATCTAGCAGTGGCCAGGAAGGCAGATACCAGCACCCAAGGGCACTGACTTCCATCCACCCCAGGCATCTTCCCTTCTGTCTCCCTGCCTCCCTCTCCTGTCTGCACCTGGTGGCCTGTTCTGTCTGTTCCCTCAGAGTGCCGGTTGCCCTGCAGGCTCCTCCAGGCTGAGTTCATGGCCCTGCACCCTAGTGGCCAGAGCCGGCTTCCCAGGATAAGAGACAGCTAAACTCCAGACTTTCCAGGAAAAGTGTCCCTTGGAAAGGATGTGGCCTTTTCACCACTCCCAACAGCACCCTAGAAATGGCTTGGCCTTTTCCCTCCCCTGAGCTCCACAGAGAGCACAGCCAGCAGAGGACACATTCCCCGTCATCCAGAAATGGGTTTGATTCTCAGCCGAGGGACAGCAGGACTGGTAGAGAGGCCACATGGCTGCCTACACAGCAACCCCATGCTTGGTGGTGGGTGGAAGGGATGGCGGAGGCTGGCTGTCCACAGGCCGGGCATGACGGGGAGGCTCACTGGAGGTGGCGCACTTTGGAGGGGAATGTCAGGGGACAGCTTTCTCTTGTTGGGCCACAAGACTCCACAAGGACAGCACAGTGACTGATTCCCAGCGCTAGAGGCAAGGCGGTCGGCCATGTGTAGGTGTGTGTGTGTATATATGTATCAGTATTTATAGATATTTATAGAACAGGGCAGGGCATACTACAGAGGGGCACAAGTTTTCAGCAACAGTCACACCTGGATGTGTCAGCTCAGCCCTACAACAGACTAAGTCACAGATGAAGGGGGCTGGCTTTGGGGTTGGGGAGCCACTGTCAAGTCACAGGACACTCGCCCAGGCAGGCTTGGAAAGGGAGGCCTCCGAGAAGAGGAGGATCTGTTTAGAGGTCGAAGTGGGGCTGGGGCTCTCAGGTCCGGATGAACTTGCCTGACCCAATCAGCTGACAGTTGGAGAGAAGCAGAGAGAAAACAGGAGACAGAAAAGTGAGCAGAGAGCTGGTGAGGCAAGCACAGAGCACGGGCGTGCTGCGGCAGCTGTGGGAGGGCCGCGGAGTGGTGGGCGCAGGTGCAGGTGTGGCAAGGTTCCTGGAAAAGAGGGGCCGGAAGGGAAAGGGGAGGAAGATGGAGGGAGGAGCTGGAGCTTCACAGGTAGTGCCTGGGGACTGCGGCGGCCCTCCCCAGCCCCCACACACTGGCGTCCCATGGCACCCAGGCACTGCACCCACAGTTCACACCAATGCTCAGCCCCCTCAGGCTTCCCTCTTCTCTAGTCACCCTCTCTTCCAACCCACTGGCTCAGGGCCACCTCTTGCCTTGGAGAGGCCCACACGACAGCCGCCAGGTCTGATAGAGAAGGAACACTGCTTGACCCAGGATGGTGAACCTTTTAGGTTCACCTGGGATGGATGGCTGGAGTGAGTGCCAGAGGCCCCTCTGGGCAGTCAGAAAGCCCAGAACCTTCTGAAAGGACCCTGGGGGAGGCAGGAAGGGCATAGGCCACTGGCCATAGACTTATAAGTCTAAGAAGGGAGCCTCAGCTGGTTGCAGGATCTGCAGGTCACATAGGTGAGGCTGGGCCCTTCCTGCTGGGAAAAGCAGAAGAGGGAGAGTCTGTGACAGGGGAGGTGGGTGGGCTCGCTAGTCAGAGCTCAGCTGAGCCAGCAGGCACTGTGGTCCCCTTGGCTGAATAGTACAGGTGACGCGTAGGAACAACAGGCCAAGGTGCGTAAGCCTGCTGGCCGGTGGTAGTGCTTCAGCGGGGGCCAGGGACCCTGCCCTCAGTCACACGCTAGCAGCTATGATGGTACCCGGGAGGGAGGGAAGGGGGCTGTGTGTCCCTGCCTGGCCTGTGAGGTGTGTTGTGGGATGACTGTTTGTATGGGACTCTCAAGATTTTATCCTAGATCGCCATTGGATTTCCGACAGATAGAGGAGGTGGGACCCTATCACCCCTGCTCTACAGTGGATTTGGCTCTCGGCACTCCCAGGCTGGGAGCTGGATGCCCTGCCCTGGCAGCATGACTCAGACTGCACAACAGGTACAGTATGCCCAGGATGACATTCCCAGGCCTCTGGCCGCCTCACAGTCCAGCCCCACACACAATGTCCTCTAAGCTTCCAGCTCCTACACCATAAACCATGAGCTCTCTGCCCTCTCTGACAGCTCCAGAGAGCACCCACGTATGCCAGCTTGGGCATGGAGCCTGTTCCAAGAGCTCATAGGCTCAGCCATGGAGGCTGGGGGGCCTTGGGGCTGTGGGGGCCAGCCCTGGTACCTGTGTCCAGCTTGGACGCTCTACACCTGCAGCCAGGAGTCATCCATGGGCCCCCATGGGTGTGCTGACGGTGGTCATGTTGATATCGCCGATGATGCTGGGCGCCTCCCTCAGCATGTGGTGCATGCACAGCATCTCGTTGCACTGCTGTGCCTACTCTGCTGACTCCTCCATCAGCATGTTCTTGTCTCCATGTGAGTACAGGGTGGCCAGCAGCTCCAAGAAGATGAACTCCTTGGTCTGAGAGTGGGCATAGAGGGAAGGAGGTTGGGACCTGATGCCTGTGCCACCCCGGCCGCCCCACCAGGCCCTGCTGTACTGTGTGCTGGACTTGCAGCCCCGAGTATGGCTTTTCAGATGTGGCTTCTACACCACTTAGACTTGAAGACCTGCCTCCCCACCACATTTTCTTACTTAGATAGGGACAGAGGTCCAGAGGAAAAGTCACCTGCCCAAGGTCACAGATCTGGGAGGGGAGCCAGGACCTATCATGCCACCAGGACACCTGTCTACTCAGTTTTTAATTTTTGGAGATAGGATCTTGCTCTGTCACCAGGCTGGAGTACAGTGGGCGAGATCACTGCTCACTGCAGCCTCAACCTCCTGGGCTCAAAGTGATCCTCCAACGTTAGCCTTTTGAGTAGCTAGGACTACAGGCACATGCCGCCACCAGGCCCAGCTATTTTTTAAATGTTTTTGTAGAGACCAGGTCTCACTATGTTGCCCAGGCTGGTCTCAAACTCCTGGGCTTAAGTGATCCTTCTGCCTTGGCCTCCCAAAGTGCTGGGATTGCAGGCATGGGCCACTGTGCCCAGTCCCATGTTATAGTTCTATGGGACAGCTCTGGTCTTGACTGTGCCCCCTCCCTGGACCTGGTCCCACAGGGCTGGTTGGCATCTCTGTCAGGCCAACACGGCCACCTGCATCCCCAGTGCCACAGGAGCCCCCTGCCCCCAAGAGGTGGTGCATGCACATTGTTGATCATGAGGTGTGTGGTGGTTTTGGGCATGAGACCAACCATGAGGTCCCACACGGTCTTGTTGACAATGGCCACATAGGAGTCCACAAAGCTCTGGGTGGTCTCCATTTGCTGCTCCAGCTGTGGGTCCATGGAGTGCATGAAGCTGTCGGAGCCATTCTCCTCAGTCTTGCTAGTCTGCCATGGAGAACACAAGGGCATCAGGGTGGCCAGGCCATGCAGCCAGGCTCCAGGCATCCCCAGGATCTCAGCCCCTCCAAGCGTACCTGGAACGTTGAGGCACAAGGAGAAGCAACTGGCCAGAACACACACCCAGCTCCCCATGCACTCTAGAGGGTTTCACGTCTCTGCCTCTCAGGACCCCAGACACCACTGATCAAGCCTCATCTTAGTTTTGACTCTAGTACCCAGAATTTGCCTCCATTTTCTCAATCTGGAAATTAGAAAAGAACATCTTCAGGTCCCTTGCTAGAAGACCTGGCCAGAGTTGGTGCCAGGCTCCCCTTGTCCTGGGAGGTCCATACACCAACATGGCCACCACCACTGCCAACTGGGAGCACAGCTAAAGTAGACACACACAGAAAAAGGGGAAGGGTTGAATGAACCTGGGACACTGCACCCCAAATTTAATGCGTTGATGAATTCAATTTGCTAATATTTAGTGGAGGATTTTTGCATCAATATTCATCAGTGATATTGGCCTGTAGTTCTCTGTTTTGGATGTATCTTTGGTTTTGGTATCAGGGTAATGCTGGCCTTGTAGAATGAGTTTGGAATGGTTGGGTAAGGTCTCTAGTTTTGGAATAGTCTGGGTAAGGTTGGTGTGAGTTTTTCTTTAAATGTTTGGTAGAATTCAGCAGTGAAGCATCACGTCCCAGGCTTTTCTTTGCTGGGAGACTTTTTATTACTGCTTCGACCTCATTATTTCTTATTGGTCCGTTCAGGTTTTGGATTTCATCAGGGTTCAATCTTGGCAGGCTGGATGTGTCTACAAATTTATCCATTTTTAGTAGGGTTTCCTATTTCTTTGCACACAGTTGCTTATTATTATTATTATTTTTTTTTTGAGACAGAGTCTTGCTCTGTCACCCAGGCTAGAGTGCAGTGCCATGATCTCGGCTCACTGCAACCTCCACTTCCTGGGTTCAAGTGATTCTCCTGCCTCAGTCTCCCAAGTAGCTGGGATTATAGGTGTGTGCCACTACACTCAGCTAATTTTTTTGTATTTTTAGTAGAGACAGGTTTCACCATGTTAGTCAGGCTGGTCTCGAACTCCTGACCTTGTGATTCACCCGCCTCAGCCTCCCAAAGTGCTGGGATTACAAGTGTGAGCCACCATACCTGGCCTTGCATACAGTTGCTTATAATAGCCACTAGTGATCCTGTGAATTTTTGTGGTATCAGTTGTAATGTTTCCTTTTTCATCTTTGATTTTATTCACTTGAGTCTTCTTTTTTCTTAGTCTTAATTAGGCTTAAAGTTTGTCAAAGTTGTTTATCTTTTCCAAAAACCAACTTTTCATTTCATTGATGCTTTTTATTGTTTTCTTCATTTCAATTCCATTTATTTCTGCTCTGATCTTTACTATTTCTTTTCTTCTACTAATTTTGGGTTTGGTTTGCTCTTGCTTTTCTACTTCTTTAAGATGCATTGTTAAGTTGTTTATTCGATGCTTTTCTACTTTTTAAAAATAGGTGTTTGTAGCCATAAAGTTCCCTCTTAGCACTGCTTTTGTCATATCCCGTATGTTCTGGCGTGTTGTGTTTCCATTATAATTTAAGAAATGTTTCAATTTCCTCTTAATTTCTTCACTGACCCACTGGTCATTCCAGAGCATATTATTTAATCTCCATGTGTTTGTATAGTTTTCAACATTTCTCTTATTACTAACTTCTAGTTTTACTCCATTGTGATCAGAGAAGATGTTTGAAATTATTTCATTTTTTTTAACATTTTAAGATGTGTCATGTGACCTAAGATATGGTCTATCCTTGAGAATGATCCAGGTGCTGAGGAAAAAAATGTGTATTCTGTAGCCCAAGGGAGAAGACTCCCGCCCCCACTCTGCTGCAACACACAGCGCTCCGCTCAGGGATGCGGCAGTGGTGTGCTGTTGTTACACAAGGGGCTCTCTGTCGGGGAGGGAACAGAGTCTGTTCTGTAGTGTTTGCCATTTTCCATGGTTCAAATATTCCATGGCTGATTTCAAGCTGCCACCATCTTCTCAGCCTGGGCTTGTTTGTACCCACCGTTGGGAAGGCTTTCCAGGTATTTGAAAGGATGTGGGTGTTGTGATCTAAACTGTATCTTTCTTAGGGGACACTCCAAGCCCAGTTATGCTACGGTTCTGGCAGACTCATAGAGGAACTGCCTTGGTGGTCTTGGACAAGATCTGGAGGAATTTTCTGAGCTACCAGCCAGTAGAGACTCTTATTCTGTACCTGTAATTTCCCTCCAAAAAACAGTCTCTGTCTCTGCCTCTCTGTCTCTGCCTCTCTGTCTCTGCCTCTCTCTCTCTCTCTCTGATGGGCCACTTGGAGCTAAGGGTGGGCTGACACAATATCCCTGTGGCCACCACCACTGGGACTGCACTGGGTCAGACCTAAAGCCAGCAAAGCACTGGGTCTCACTCAAAGCTCACTGTCAATACTACCTGGCTATCGCCTATGTTCACTCGAGGCTCTGGGGCTCTACAGTCAGCAGGTAGACTTCTCTACAGGGCAATGAGTTCCCTCAGGCCCTGATGGGTCCAGAGATGCTGTCTGGGAGCCAGGGACTGGAGTCAAAAACCTTAGAAATTTACCTGGTGCTTTATTCTAAGGCGGCTGAGCTGACACTGAAACCATGAGACAAAGTCCTTCCCACTCTGCCTTTCCCTTTCCACAGGCAGAGGAGCCTCACCCTATGGCCACCACCACAGGCCCACAGGGAGTGCTGCCAGGCTACTGTTGATGTTTACTTAGGGCCCAAGGGCTCTTAAGTCACTTGTGGTGAATGCTTCCAGGCCTGGGCCTCACCCTTCAGGGCAGTGGGCTCCCCTGTGGCCCAGGGCAAGTCCAGAAATGCTGTCTAAGGGTGAAGGCCTAGAATCAGTGACCACAGGAGCCCATTTGGTGCTCTCTACCCCATGGTGGCCAGGCAGGCACCTAAGTTGCAAGACAAAGTCCCTTTTACCTTTCCCTCTACTTTTCTTAAGTAGAAGAAGTCTCTCACCACAGCCACCATATCTGGGAATGTGCTGGGTCTCCCCTGAAGCCAGCATGTCTCAGAGCCTTACTCCAGGCCCATCGCATACTACCTGGGTGTCACTGTTGGCTGTTCAGGGCCCAAGGCTTTTGAGTCAGCCGGTGTTGAATCCTGCCAGGACTGGGTTCTTTCCTTTAGTGCAGCAGATTCCCTTCTAGCCCAGGGTATATCTAGAAAGGTAATTCAGGAGCTAGGTCCTGGAATGGGGGCCTCTCAACTCTGACAGGTGCTCTGTCCTACTGTGGCTGAGCTGCTATCCAAAATGTAAGACAAAGTCCTCTTTACTCTTCCCCTTCCTGTCCTCAAGCAAAAGGGAGTCACTTGAGTTAGTGCAAGCTGCGTTGCCTGGGGTTGGGGGAGGGGTTGTGCAAACACTCCCTTGGCTGCCCTGGCTGGTGTCTCTCTAGGTCTTGTGTCCCCTGAGTCCACTGGCTCTGAGCCCAGCATGGCATTGCAACTTGCCTAGGAGTTGAAGTCCTTCTGGTCTAGACTGCCTTTCAAGTTTATTTAGGGCCCCAGAGCATAATAGCCTGCCATGCCAAGGCTTGTCAAAACGCAAGCCTCAAGCCTTCTAACTACTGGGACGGGTGAACCCCTCTGGGTAGGGCTGGTCTAAATGCTCCCTCCATGGGCAGGTGTCATGTGAGTTCCACCTGGTTTTGCTTTCTCCTGTGACAGAGCAGCACTGAGTTCAGTGCAAAGTCCCACAGTTGCTGCCTTCTCCCTCTCCCAGGTGCACAGATTCTCAGCACCACAGCGGCCACTGCTGGGCGAAGGGGAGGGGTGACATTGGTGTTTCAAGACCAATGGTTCTCCTACCCTTTTCAGTGCCTCTTTCAGCGACATGAAGTTAAACCCAGGTACTGTGAGTCCTCGCCTGATTTTTGGTTCTTATGAAGATGGTTTTCTGGTGGAGACGGTTGTTAAATTTTATTTTCCTGCAGGGGGACTGATTGGTAGAGACTACTATTCAGCCATCTTGCTCTGCCCCTCCCCACTTACTTCACTTTAATTACTTCCTAGGAGCCCTGTTTTTAAATACAATTACATAGGGGGTTAGGGCTCCAACATAAGAATTTTGGGGAGACACAATCCAGTCTATAGCATTTGGACTTGGGGAGAGGGAGGAAGAGAACATGCACAGGAAGTTCACAGTGTAAGCAACAGTATAGAGGTGGGAAAGTTCAGCTCATGGATAGGAAAAATTGATCCAATTAGGCAGGACCCACAGGGAGATGTGGTGGGATGGTGAGAGGTGGGCCACATCAAAAGAACCTTGAATGCCAGGCTGAGGTGGGACACATTTCCTGTTGTGTAGAAGGTGCCATAGGGTGGTGAGAGGTGGGCCACATCAGAAAGAACCTTGAATGCCAAGCTGAGGTGGGAGGCATTTCCTGTTGTGTAGAAGGTGCCATGAGGTGGTGGGGAGGGTAACATGATGAAAGGATATTTGGGAGGATGGATCTGGCATCAGTGGTGGGTAGGGGTAAGGACTGAACAAAGCTGGAGGCCAGGAAACTGTACACATGGCCCAGAATTCAGGCTTAGGCTGTTCAAAGGTAGTTTCCACACTGAGTTCCCATGTGGATCCAAGCATGCAGGGGGTAGATGATTTGGAAAAGCAAAACCATTCTCTTCCCATCACCACACAGTTTCCCAGCTGAGCTCATCACCAGAGCCTTACAAATCAGACAGTTGACCTGCCCCAAACTCTGTCCCTAGAAGCTGTGACCCAGAGGGAGCTCTTTTCCAGCTGTAGCCCAGGGACACTGCAGCCTGAGCAGGACTGCACCTGTTCCCTCCCAGGAGCCTCATCTCTGTCTGGCCTGGCTTTGGCTCAAATGCCTTCAGCTTTGGCTTCAAAATCTGTTGGGTCAGATTCATGAGAGCTCTGGCCTTCTTTGTTTTAGGAATTTTTAAATAGTTTTTTTCAGCTTGGTGGTAGATGAGCTCTGCTTGCTTACCTCTAAGAATTGGCTGGAACTCACAGAAAGCTGTTATACTCATAGTTATGGCTTGATTACATGGAAAGGATAAAAATTAAAATCAGCCAGGGGAAGAAAGGCGTAGGGCTGAGTCCAAGAGGACACCAGTCATGGAGTGTCCATTATCCCTTCCCCATGCAGTCAGAGTGCATTACCCTCGTGGCTTTGTTATGTGCCAATACACATGGAGTATTCCCAGCCAGTAAGGTTCCCTCAAGCCTCGGTGTTCAGAGTTTTTACTGGAACTTCATCACAGAGGCATGCTTGATTGTCCACATGGCTGTTCTCAGTTTCTAGTCTCCAGTCCTTCCAAGGATGACTTAAAACACAGACTCTAAATCACATAGTCGCTTTTCCTGCCCCAGCTAGTCCCCACCCTAAATCTTATTATTAGTCTATCCATCATGACCCAAGATCCCCAGGCAAAGATATTCCTATCAGGTATTACATGTTA